CCGCCCCGACTCGAGGAATGATACTAACGAGTACTAAAGTTGGTAGAAAAAGGGCGAGAACAAAACCTAGTAATAAGTAGTTGGGCCGGGTAAGGGTTTGATTACACCTTAATCAAGGACACAGATTGTAAATGTCGACCGTATTCGTGTGTGCGAAAATAGGAAGGTCTACAATAGGTCTATGTTCCATATTATATACACCACATTTTTCCCAGAATCATTACCCAGTTACATTCCAGCATTTGAAGGATGTTAGGCTGAGCTATCGTTTATAAATTGTTTTATGGGGAAGGTTAAACAATTTGTGGGTCATAATATTTACCGGTATTGGTCAAACAATACGTATTACATATATGCCATGAGTTTCGTATCAATTGTGCACCTACTTTTGGAATACCCTCATTAGAATCCGAAGTTCTTTTGAAGGGGGGTTTTCATCGAAGTTGGCCAACAAACCGTTCCAATTTCCTTTTACGTTTCGTACGGGTATTTCGTACAACCTAGATTACAAATTTGAGATTGGGTTAAAAGGTTATAAGTCCGGAAACCAAACCGGCCTAAACTAAATACGTGGTAAATATTTATTTACGTGTCTATATAGACTCATAGACTTTACGACCGAAATTACTGACAGAATGCCGTTTCAGAAATAAACTTTGGCAAACCTTCGGGTCTTTGTTGTGTAAACTTCCTTTCTGTACTTTCACATTTGGGTAATGTAAAGTACAACCTCGGAAATCCTTCTTTCCCGTTTTTGTATGCCGTCGATACATCGCGTGTCATATTGTCTTCCGAAGACGTAGTTGGAACTCAAAAGAATTGGGACGGTGGGAGTTGCCAGGACCGAGAGACAGACCGCACCTATGAGTCATACACCTTTAATTGACCCCGCGAATATTACAAACACCTGAGGTGGGGTGGATCGGGGTCATCTTCACTGCACGACACATCGTTTGACTATATTATGTTATGTAAATGGTTCCCTTCGTATCTTTACGTACCAAAAGCAAAATACGGGACACTCGGAACACCCGGGTACCGGTTTTAGTGGTTTTTAATAAGTAAACCCCCAAAACAACCGACAGTAGAACAAACCGCTCGTATACTGCGGCCACTACTCCTTCATAATCGTCTCCTCCCGTAAGTCTTTTCCGTGCAAACGGAAAATAGTCAAAACAGGCGCGAAAAGAATGGTAACCGAAAAAGCGAAAAAGGCAACTTTCGACCCGAAACCGTAGTCTAAGCTGTTACAACCGTCGTACGTTGGAGTGTTCGTGCCACTTCGAAGAAAAAGAAACGAGCGGACACGGAGTTTGGTAACGGAGAGGTTAAAACACGCGGTTGTTGGGGTGTGAAGTCTGTCGTAAGTGATTTTGCCCGACGTTGAGAACGGTACACTGACAAACTGTCCTAAACTAAGCGAGTCCCGAGAAACAACCGTAATGTATAATTAGATTTTACTGAAGTGAGTGTGACGCTCAAAAACTAAAATTAAAATATATATGTATATGTTTGCAAAAAAGACGAGTAACGACCCTCTATTACCCGTATGAGCCGTATAAACCGCTTAAATACAATCCTCTCGGGAGTTCGCCCCAAGAGAGAGCGTGAGAGAGGCCCCGTCGAACGGAGTACAGGGAAACCGGTCAACAAACTAATAACGTTTTCCTAGTTCGTCTGAACGAGAATAGAGCCGCTAGTAAACTACTATCGTTCTTGTATTACACAAAAGACTCCACTCTGTCTCACACGTCCGTCACTAACACCGTCATCCCTACTATACATAATAATGAGAAAGATGCGACCGACGACGAATAATCCTACGACGTAGTTACGACCGAACAGTCCCAAACAAAAGAGAGGACAAATCCCTACGTCCAGTCCACAAAAACAAACCAGAAAAACAGTCCAGTACGGAATCAAAAACACAAGACACCGGTAAAAGCGCAAATAAACTTTTCTCCTGTCACATCTTTTTACCTACTCCTTTTCCATACTGTCCCGGTCTCCAGGAATCCCGACTAATACTTTCGGGGGACAACAAACAAAAGTAACAACCAATATATCACATTTGAATAATGAGTTTTTATAGTTCCCGCGAGGGTCCAGAGGAAACTTTAATTTCATTGCCAACTTGCTCGTACACCCAAAAGGTTTCCTGCGAAATAAAACCCATGAAATTTTACATTTTACACCCGGATCAGGATATTCCTTAGTTGGAAAACATAGCGCAAGGAGGTCGAGTTACTTAAATTTAAACCCGATTGGCATGATGACGTGAAATAGTCACACAGTCAACGTTCTTGACAAAACACGAGACCAATAAACAGACGAGAGGCGTCACTTACTATAGTAATGAATTGTCTTCCCCTCTATCTCTCAATTTAACACCCTCTCTGGAATAAAGGCACTCAGGTCCAAAAAAAAATCTTTAAAAAAAGAAAATTACTTTTTAACATTATACTCAAAGGGTCAGTAAATATCACCCCGGGGCCGGATTTGGCCCGCGGGCCGCCAATTGAATAGCCCTGCTATAGAGGCTTGCTTCAGATTCAGACATGATTGATTTGACTAAACTGAACATAGTGTGTTCTGTACCCACAATACTGAGAAGAAAACCCTCAGAGTCATTTATCTACTTTAAGAAGGTCTTTTACCAGCAGTTCGACCTTGTTAAGGTGACAGCCGCCATATAAATGTCATACTGTATGTGGGGGCTTTTCCGTGGGCAATATCCTGTCAGACAACTAAAGAAAGATGGGAATCTCCTGAAGCCACTGCTGGAAGATTTCTATCTGTTTGTACCGGAAGCATTGATTGAATGATTTCACCATATAGGGTCAGGTGTGAGTATTTGGGTAGTGTGTAAATGTAGGATTGTGGGGGAGAAGAAGAAGAAAGATGCGGCTATTTGTCGTGCTGCTGTTCGATCAATGAAATGGCCAGGATCGCACAGTGAATGCAAATACACTCCTCTGCCAACATTAGTGCGCAAATTACACCGAACCAAATATTGTATAATTAGGGAGTCTAGTTTCTTTTGAGCAGTTTTAGTATATGTCAATGCACCTGCAGAGGTACCCAGAGAAAAGATGGAGAGCCTTAAAAACATCAGGATGAAGGCAGAGAAACAGCACAGGCATTCATTGGCAGTCTTTGATGAGCATCTGCCAGAGTTCACATGCTGGGTCACGTCTTGGGCATTTATTCCTGTTATTAACCTCCTCCTCACATCCCCTTCACAAGATAAGCTCAGTTGATAAACTGGCTCACAGCCGGTTGGCCATTAGATGCATAAAGAACACTGTCACACTCCACTGAGAGCCTGCTGCAGGCGTATACATTAACATGCAAGAAGGGATGCACTGCGCACACACACTCTGCAAACACTTCACATATTCACACCTGAGACCTTCCTCTGGCCACACACACACACACACACACACACACACACACACACACACACACACACACACACACACACACACACACACACACACAAATGACCACAGTTGAGCAAGCAGATACTCTGCTGCAGTCAATTAGAAATGAGGCGCCTTCACCTCTGCAGCTCATCAATAGTCTTTAAACAGGCTGCAGTGTAAACAGCTCAGAAGATTTAATGGTATGCTGTGGTCTCACACACACACACACACACACACACACACACACACACACACACACACACACACACACACACACACACACACACACAATAAACTTTTGTCTGAGTCAGTGCACCTACCAGAGAGAACCAAAGTCTAAACCACGCTTACTTTCCATCTAGTCTTAACCAATCATAAATGTATGGGCAAAGCCCTATGTATTGACCCACGAGGTTCGGGGCTCTTTACGGAAATAGTGGTTACAGATAACATCTTTGCTGCCTGTAATTTCTGTTACGTGACGAGTAGGGTGGCCCTTAAAATTGAAAGTCGGAAAGTCTAAGCTCCAACCCCCAGAATTCCTTCTATTAGTCAAGAAAACTCTCCTGGTGATTTTTTTCCTGAATCTGACAACATTTACCCCTCCATCATCAACCTTGAAGTTTAGCCTCAGTTGCAGCACCGTGGCTGCTGGTGACCAGGTCGATGAGGGAGGGGTAAATGTTGTTGGAATTTGAATAAAATTCACCAGGAGAGTTTTCTTGACTAGTATAACGAATTCCGGTGGTTGGGGCTTAAAATAAATGAATTCAAAAAATGTACCTCTCACGAAGGACCAACCTAGTGACGAGTCCTTGGCCAAGTGAATATATATTTTGCTCTCTTATAATATAGTTAAATTTAGAAGTTGTTTGTCTTTCCTGGAATTAAAGAACACAACAAATGCCTTAATCAATATCAAACCTGAGATCAGGCCATGGCTAGTTTGACTCAGCAAATAGTTTAATATAACATCTTGAAGCAAGTAATTATGTAATGATCACCCGAGTTAATATATAAACATTAAATCAAGTAACGTTGTGTAGGCTACTGTTTTACTCATTGCTAGCAAGGAACCCATAATGGATCATAACCATCTCTTTGTCTTTTTTTAGGTTTTCTTTTGCTTTTTGAAGCTCACGGTCTTAGAATAAAAGTCTGCTTCCGTAAAATATTGGTTTTGATTATATTTGATTTATTATTGATGCATTAATGTGTTTATCAAACCTGGTAGAGGTGCAGCTCATCTAAATGATTGTGTATACTGCAGGGTAGTTTGTTAATTTAATCCAGATGTAACTAAAGTTTTATTGAATTAATGTTTATATTTTATATCATTAATCCTAATCTGCAAAGTAATTAAATTAATTAATTAAATGTAGTGGAGTAAAAGTACACGAACAAACAGCAGCAAATTGAAATACTCAAGTAAAGTACAAGAACTTCAAAATTGTACTTACGTACAGTACTTAACTAAATGTACTTAATTAATTTACATAACTGCATAGGCCTATATCTTAAATAGGGTGATAGCAGGACACCCCATCTAGTCACTCAGAAAAAATCAGGACATTCTGATGTAGAGTTTCAAAATAAAAGACCTTTGAAGTCTCATATATGAGCTATCATCCCTGTCCCCAAAGGTCTTTTATTTTGAAACTGTACATCAGAATGTCCTGATTCTTTCTGAGTGACTAGGTGGGGTGTCCTGCTATCACCCTGGAGTGAGATGAGTCTTTGATACTGGACAGTCTTTGTTTTATTCTCATCTAAACACAGAGGGATGATAGCTCATATATGAGACTTCAAAGGTCTTTTATTTTGAAACTGTACATCAGAATGTCCTGATTTTTTCTAAGTGACTAGATGGGGTGTCCTGCTATCACCCTGGAGTGAGATGAGTCTTTGATACTGGACAGTTTTTGTTTTATTCTCATCTAAAAANAGTACCCATAAGGAGCTGTACAAATGCCGCAGTTTTTGCGTGGCTGTGTATTTAGTTGAAAGCCCAGTGGCGATCTGCTCATCTCTCATCGAAATAATATGCTAATATTATTTCGATGAGAGATGAGCAGATCGCCACTGGGCTTTCAACTAAATACACAGCCACGCAAAAACTGCGGCATTTGTACAGCTCCTTATGGGTACTGCAATTAGTGAAGTGCATTCCTCCGTGGTGAAACGATCAGCACTGCACCACGGAGGAAAGCGGCAGAAAGTCGCTTGGAGTTAAAGAGAGCGGGGCTGCGTTGCATGCATGGCTTCCTTCTGCAGGTAACGGGGAGACACGCTCTGGCGGCGGTCTCGATCAGGATCCGAAAATACAATTTAAATATTTTTGCACACTTATTCCACTTATTCCTAGTGTGCCACTGGTTACGGTGCCGCGTGCCAATGCTGGCACGCGTGCCAGGGGTTGCCGACCCCTGGTCTGGAAGGTAGCTAAATTGTGTTTAATAGTGCAGTACCTACCCATGCAAGCAAGCAGCCCGCTGATGGCTTGAACATCAGCTCCAGCAAAGATGTCCGACAGAGAGTTGACCACAGGCAGACACAAGGTGTGGACACGGATCCTTCTCTCTCCTGTAATAGAAAACACCAGTTATTCAAACAACATTTCAAAATGTCAATATGGCTTTAAAAAGACAAAACAACATTGGCTGTGTGTGTGTGTGTGTGTGTGTGTGTGTGTGTGTGTGTGTGTGTGTGTGTGTGTGTGTGTGTGTGAGTGTGAGTGTGTGTGTGTTTGTGTGTACCTTTGCTGGACGTGTAGAGCAGTGCAGCCTGGAAGGAGACGACTTGCAGGTCGTCCAGGTTTTCCTCGATGGACATCTGAACTGCAAAGCCAGCGTCTGGGTTCACGTTGGGAAGGGACAACAGATCCGTGGAGCGCACAAAGAAGTTTCCGTGGAACGTGTGGATGGACAGACCTGCAGAGAGAGAGAGAGAGAGAGAGAGAGCGAGAGACAGAAAAAATCAATTAAGTTAAACTGACAGCCACATCTCGACTGCAAACAATATTGTCTTCCAAATGACTTACAGAAGATCAAAATGAAGGTTCAATTACAGAAACATTTGAATGCATTCAGGGGCTATTGAGGCTAGATTGTTTAGTTCTGCCTACAAAATACTTACACAGTAACCAGACAGTGCTACTATCAATAGCAAAGACAAAACATCCTAAAGTAGGATTATTTATGAATGAAACTATTCTGCAGAAATATATTATAGAAGAAATAAGGGGTTCCTTTTCCCAACTTATTTACAAATCGGATGTGAATGAAAGCTAAAGTTCTGGGAATGCACATTCAGGTCAGTGCTGGACAGCTTTCGTGCTGCACACAGACCTTTGGTGCAGCGTATCCTCATGACGGCCTCGAAGCCGATCTTCCTGGTTAAGTATCTCTTCAGATCCTTCTGGAAGCACTCCACCTGGGCGGGGTTGCGCTGGTGGTGGTAGGATGGGTAGTAGTAAACAGTCCCTGCAGAGTATCTGGATATGCAGCCTGCGAAAGGGAAGGAACACAAGAACATATTTATTGGCCGTTTTAAATATAGATTTAAAACCCGACACACGGTCTCCACCTTTTGAGAAACTTCTTTTGTTTCCAGCTTCTGTCTCTGACCTACAATACATAAAAGGCGTTTTTCACCTATTTTATAGACTGATAACTTTTTTTAAAAAATTTTTATAGCTCTTAGTGTTTTAAAACACTAAAAACAAAAACACTTTTATCTAGAAAATAAGGCCCGTGGTTGCTATAAGCCTAAAATGAGTTCAAAATCATTCAAAATCCTCCTATACACATCATGATTTGTCGCATAAACGTTGAATATAAACTAGGCATTCAAAAACTAAATTGCAACATTTCAGTTTTTCTCTTCACCTTCTATCTATTTAGTGCAAGACTTACCGAGCGATGCCAGGTCGCAGTACTGAGAGCTGAGCAGGAACAGGTCCACCGACACCTGCTGGCCGGAGCAGTCCAGAGCCAGCTTCTTGTAGAAGTCTGTCGCTGGGGATAAGTGCTGGATATCCTGAGGGAAAACACACCATGTATGAGCAACATTGAAAATCCTGATTACCCAAAATAAGGCAAAAACACAACATTTCTTAATACTTTTTTGTAGAAAAAGACTTGGCTTCAAGACTGCCCTCTGAATCTAGGCCTTTAAATTAAAGAAGAACAAACGTTCTCGTTATTTTCCATAATTAAGTGATTGTTCGGTCAGGGTTGTTTTAGAGTGCAGTTAAAAGTCTAGCTAGAATTTCAATGTAAATGTGAAACGATCAATCAAAAAACAATAATAAATCACTCCGATTATTTTTTAAGTCAACGTTTTTCTTCTTCTAACCCGGTAGACATAGGCTGGTATATTTTATTCCTTTTAAAGACAATTGTATATTTCAATTTTATGAATATATCATACTACCACAATGGTGCTGTAGAATATACGTCTCTTTAATCAATCTCTTTCCATCTGTGTTTCTCTTACCTTGGCAGATGCCCGTTGGTTGGGGTCTTCTCTGGATTGAAGGGCCCCCACACCGAGGTTAGGCAGCTGGGTCTGAAAGATGGTCATGCGCCCTCCGGTGGGCGACAGCAGCTTGAAGGCTGCTTGCAGAGCTGAACCCAGGGCGGACTGGGTCTCCATTGTCTTTTGAAACAAAGTGGGGAGGCTCTTCAGCAGATCCTGCACAAGCTGAAAAACAAAATAAAAAGGGAATGACTCGAGTGTTTGAGTCACATGGACAGTAGCTGCAGTGAGTGTCAAGCTTAACATTCAGAAATAGGACAAAATGAGAAGGATTTGAGTGATAATCTACATCAGGGTCATTCAATTGGCGGCCCGCGGGCCAAATCCAGCCCCGGGGTGATATTTACTGGTCCTTTGAGTATAATGTTGAAAAGTCATCTACTTTTATTTTCTTCTTGGGCCAGAGTGCCTTTATTCCAGAGAGGGTGTTAAATTGAGAGATAGAGGGGAAGACATTGCCTGAAAACTTTGGCAGGCTCGGGTTTCGAACCTACCTACTAGCTACTGTAGTGACAACTCCTGTCATTTATTGCATCTCTGCGTGAATGATTAGATCATTTCACCTAAATTAAATCAAATGAAACGATGTTGATGGTTAAATTAGCTTCACATGTAGGCCTACTGAGTTCTGAACTTGCCATTTAGATCTATAAAGGCCTTGGGGCTATGTTGTTTGATTTAATTAAAGACAATATGCACTCCACTTTGCTGTTGTAGTATTTACTGTATCTGAAGCTCTTAATATGATTGCTCATATTTCAACCCATCTTTTTCCCAGACCCTTGCTTTTGATCATTTTCATCAACCGGCCCCCATTACAAACTAATTGAATAACCCTGCTCTATAGTATGTGCACCAGAGGAAGTCAGTTAGTGTATTCTGTTTAATATGTGTTGTGTCTGTTTGTGGATATCATCTCTTGCCTTTGATCTGATGTGAACGAGGGCTGGTCCTTCATCAACTAATCATTATTTTCTTGATGCTTTTTTCATGCGGAATGTCTTATTTCTAAGAAAATTAATTAGTGGTCATTTTTGCAAGTGGCTGTTTGGATTTGCATTTTTGTTTTTCTGCTTATCTACTGCATGCTCTGTATCTAATGAATACATTATTTTCCAGGGTGATGGCGGTGTCACATTTGCAAGGTGCCACCTGTCATGTGTGCCAGGTTTAGGGGAGGGGCGGCAGGGTGGCATGGGAGGCGGGGAGTAGCAGAGGCACCAGGCGGTCTGATTGGCTCGCCATCTGTCTCTGCCACAGAGCAGATGTCAGAGTAGAAAGACCAATCAAATTTTTCTTCCAAGTGCACTTTCTCTCTGTGTGTATACTGTAGGTCTTTTGCTGTAAGTGTATGCATGTGTAAATGTATGTGTATAATTGTGTCTGCTCTACAGTGTGCATGCTCCTGACGTTTCACACTCTGGTTGACACAGGTCCCAGTGGGGCTTATTGTCTTCCATACGGAGGGAGTTAACACAGAGCAGGTCCTTGTCATAATGAAGAGCTGTCTTGTTAGCAGCAATTACAGGATAAACAGCCTGGGAGATATGACCAGGCAATCACATATTCACCATTATAAAGCTTCACTAAACAAATACAAATAAAACATGTTGAAAAGGAGAAATAAGGGCTTTAAGGGTTTTAATCTCTCACCTTTCACTTCACCCTCCCTTGAACCAGGGTCCCACAGCCCATCAGGATTAGCTGAGAGTCTCTTACAGATACTTGTAAAAACGTGTAATTGGCAAAGGCAAACACAATGCAAAATGTCCAAAATACATCACACACTAAGTACATGTAAACCCATGAGATTAATATTTGCATATATTTAGCTGATTTCTCTTATTTTTTTGTCAGCCAATGTGTCAGTTGTTTATGAATCACAAAAGAAAACCTTCAACCAAGAAAAAAAGGAAGGACCAGAGCCCATACAGTGGATGAATATACATAATCTGTTGTGCAAAATAATAGCTTAATTCTACACCTCACAAATGAATATACTTTTTAAATTATATTGCATTTTAACAATTACAATACCCCTACTTTGTGATGCAGTGTTTTTGAACGTATGCTTACATGCCATCTTGCGACACTTTGTTCAGTAAATCAAGGAGATGGTCTGTTTGTGGAGTTCTTGGCTCATAGTCAATTGTTGGAGGGGAGAATTACAGTACCTAATGTTATAATTTAGCTTTACTAAAAACATGTGCATAATGAAACCGGACGAGGGGAGCAAGCACCAACATCCTTTCGCAACAGGAAACAGCACGGTTTACAGGAAGTGTGTCTTAATGTTGGGTTAAACATGGAGCAACAACTATTGTGTAATCTGTATCTGCTAGATTACAAGTGTCACAGTGAAATCAGAATCAGATTCCTTTATTTGTCCCGCAACGTGGACATTTACATTAGATAGCAGATGGTGCAGATAAAGTGAGGAGAATAGACTTGCATATAAATAAATAAATGGCTAAGTATGCACCCGCTATTAATAATAAGAGAACACAATAAGTTAAACAAATAAAACTAAATAGCAGATAAGTACACCATGGTAAAAACGTAGCAGTATATTAGTGTTGTTGCCCATATACAATTAAAGTGGTGCCAATTTTTAAAAAACTGAGAGAAAAAATAAATTGGCCTTCTTTACCAGAGTCTCTTCCTATCAGCAGCAGATATTAGTATCCCGTCGGAATTATATTTGGAAATATATTTGATTTAGTTTATGTAAAGAGGATATTAGCCTAAAGCTAGATGCATGAACCAGCTCAGAGACTGACTGTGCAGCACCCTCTCTTTCCTTTCTCACTCTCAGAGACAAAAGTGTGACCTTGGTTGCCCCCCTAATACAAGGCTTTTTGAAAAGCTCTTTTAAAAAAGCAAATCATTTAATAAATATGATTACCCCTCAATTTACTTAAAATAATTGTACAGATATAAAGTTGCTAATGGTCATTAATGCACATATTTGAGACATTGCCACAGTTTACACAAAATCACTTATGGGTTAAAAACAAAGTCTTTAAAATCACTCTAAAAATGTCTCTAATATTCTTGAAGTGTTCAAATATTTTATTTGTTGGAGGAAAAACACAGAAGACAGGAGAATATGTTTTGCATTAAAACTTACTCAAACAATTAAGAGCGATTATCATGATACCTGCTTTCATAATCATCTGCATACTGTGTATATATTCATAAAGAATTGCAAAACTAGTCAGGTGACTCACTTTAGTCTTGTGTGTTTATGATGAGGAGTGCAGGAGTTGGATGTATATACATTTAGAGAGGATTTCTCAGTTTACATATGGAAGTCGTTCCACTGAAAACATTAAAGCAGAGCTGTTAGAAGATCTTAGAAGTAGTGGGGTCATTACCACCACACATTTTACAGATGATTCACCATGGAGCGATGGCGTAAGGAGGATGATGAAAGCGAAGGACACATGTAATAATCTGTGAATTGTTGTTCCTCTTGTCGGCCTCTAGAGGGAGTTAAAGCCCTTTGATTTAAAAATGAAGACCTCTCGAGGGAGAGAATACATTATGCCTTCTTTGTACATTTCATGATACTCCAGCATGTTTGCAGGGTTAATAGAATCTTGGTAATTGCAGGTAGTGTAATGTGTATGTGTGTGTGTTATGTTGTGTCCTTTCGAATGGCGTTTCTTCAGGTGGTCGCTGCACAGTAGCTTAGTTAAAACAAGGAACCCCTGCAGTCAGGAGCAGGAAGGTCAACAGTGGATGCTTCTCTCAGCATGTTACTTTAAATGGCATCTCCCCATGAGTCTGTTCAAACACACACACTCAAATCCACACACACACAAAAGCAGTTTCACTATTAAATAAAGTCGTTTTTTTTGTCACTTTTAATCAATCAATCAATCAATCAATGTTTATTTATATAGCCCAATATCACAAATGTTACATTTGTCTCAGTGGACTTCACAGTTTGTACAGAATATCAGTATGACAATACGACACCCTCTGTCCTTAGACCCTTACATCGTACAAGGAAAAACTTCCAAAAAAGGAAAAACCCCACAGTTTAAAGGGGAAAATGGGAGAAACCCAGGGGGATCCCTCTCCCAGGAAGGACAGACGTGCAATAGATGCCGTGTGTAAATCGAAAAGATAATACATTTACAACATAGGTAGACCAAATGTTTGGAAAGACCAAATGTTTGGAAATGCATGTGTCTATAATAAGAAGACGAATCCACGAGGATGTCAACAATCCTGTGGGAGCCATCAGGGAAGTAGTATGATGAGAGTCAGGCAGGACCGCAGAGACAGGCTCAGCCACGACTCGAAGTCCAGGACTCAGATCCAGAACTCAGGATCCAGGACACACGACCACAGCAACAGGATTAGCCCCCAAGCGTAGATAGAAACACCAAAGAATTTGGGGAAGCTGGGTCATTCCGAACATGAAGTACATAGGTACAGACAGAGAGAACGGAAGAAGAAGGTGAAGCAGCTGGGGGCTAATAGGCCAACCAACTGATTGACTGATATCAGAAGCTGTCTGAATTTTAAGCTTTACACGACCTTAGCCCGAATAATCCCCTCTGCAATGCATAATTATTACCCTGCAGACACACAGCCAGCAAGCAGCCAATATAAATATTGCTTCAAAGTCCCATTTCTCACCTATAGCAGTATGCACACATTTATTACCAGATGCTAGTCCAAATTATCAGAATGAGATTTAATAAGTGTTAATGCATCATCTAAATCACTGTAAAAAGCCCAGTATACACCATGAATTAGGCATTTCTTTCCCCCTTTTTGATCGTTGTTGTTAATCTTCTTATCCAGGCATAAGAAGTTCAACAAAAA